GCTGACTCCAGGCTAACTCCAGGCTGATTTCAGGTTAACCTCAGGATGATTCCAGGCTGACTCCAGGCTAACTCCAGGCTGACTCCAGGCTGACTCCAGGCTGACTCCAGGCTGACTCCAGGCTGACTCCAGGCTGACTCGTTCAGACGTGTGGAGATCCGTCGTTCAGCTCAGCCGTCTGTTCCCAACATGAAGGTCACTTTGTGCTCACTCACAGGTGTTAAACCTCACAGTCCTTGAGAGGATTCAGGCTGTGAGCGCAGTGTTAAAAATCAGAACAGAGAGAGGAGAGGAGGTCGTCGTCTGCGACAGACGGTTCTTCGGCGCCATGGCAACGGCGGGCCGATACAATGGGTGGCTCGTAGAGCGATGGAGAGAGGAGGTGGAGATGGAAATCAAAACAAAGGGAATGTGGAGTAGCAGCTCATCTGCTGCTCATCTTCACCTCCTCAGCGACAGAACATCTTCGACTCTGGAATACGATGACGTGAACCCAGAGAACCTCTGAGACTCACGGGTCACAGTCCAGAACTCCTGCAGCTGATTGGAGGATAAAACCTCTACTTCCTGTCATCGGATCAGTAAAACTGAAGATCTTCAGATGAAATGCGAACCTAGACAGCAGTGCTCCGACCCAGTAGAGGGAAGGCTGTCGGCATCCCACAGCCRGGTTCCAAACCTCTTAGTCTATGAACCCCCTGAACCCCCTGAAAWCCTCCTTGGATCTCCTGTATGCTCCCTTGAAGTCCTTGCATGTCAGCTGGGAATCCAGCGTGAGGAGTCCTGGGCTCTCTGCGGGGCATGGTCGCCATGGCGGTGGCGGCGGTGGCCTGAAGCGGGTGCGGCCCCAGGGGGCTGAGGCTGTTGTGGTTCAGGTCCATGTTGGACAGGAGATGACCCAGGGAGTCCCAGCGCTGAGACGAAGGCAGGCGGATTAAGGAGGAGTAGCCCCGGTCTGGGAACACGGTGGCCACGGGGGGCTTGATGGTCTCTGAGGTGAGGACCGGAGGTGGGTCACGGTTCTCCCTTAAAGGCAGCCGGGCAGCTYGAAGCAGGGCGGGCTTCAGGTAGGTCCCCCCTCGTGGGTCGGCCAGGACTTCGCTGTAAGGCGGAGGGGGGTCTTCCATCAGAACCGCCTCCTCGTAACAGGGCGGCTTCCCAGAAATATCCGTCTCTGAAACCAAGAGAGAACTGAAGATTAAAGACGAAAATACTGTCCCATCCTCAGAGGTCTGATTAGATATTAACCCTTTATTTTTAGCCATAGCCTTGAAAAACTGATCCAAACACAAAGAAAAAACTCTCCAACTTCTACCTCTGCTACTTCCAGAGCATCCTAACCCCCTATGGTCCGTCTGGTGTGAGACCTACGGAACTACATTAGTCTCTAAATTCAGTAATATTAGAACCTGTGCCCCAAAAACACAACGTATCATCTCCTGCCAGTTCACCTGCTGAGAATGAAACCCTCAGAAAATATCCCTCGGTTCTGTTTTCAACTCATTTCCACTTCAATGTTTCCAAYAGAGATACTGAGCAGCTGTGCAGCAACAAGCAAGAAGAAAAGGTCGGACTCCATTAAAAAAATGCAAAAATAAATCATTGATTTGTTCTGTAAGAATTCTGTTTTTCTACGTTTAGCTGCAGAGATGAAAATATTCCCACAATGAGCTGAAATGCCAAGGGAGAGAAGGGAAGAAAAGCCTCTTTTGGATGTGAGAATTGGAGTTACGAAACGCTGAATGTGTCAGCGATGATGCAAACTAATGACTGAGATCTGAGGAATTGTGATTTTTTTTTTATTATCTGCAATAATCTGTGAATAAATGAGCGAGGCCAGGGTCTGACAGAGCCAGAAGAACTGATTTTAATGCAACACGTGTTTCGCCTTTTTGTTCATTTAATACCAGAGCAGAAGAATTAGTGTCCGCCTGTTTAATTCAGTTGTGATTTTTGGCTTTCCAAAAACTCAGATAGAAAATCTGCATCAAGTCACGCACTACCAGGACCAGTGTGCTTCGACTTTTAGTGGCCGCACATTGTGTGACGCACACTGTTTGCAAAGAAAAAAACAAACAGGAGTTTTCCTGAAGGAAAAAGTGAAATTTTAGTGAAAGGTTGAAAAAAAAGAACAGTTGTTTGTAGCTAAACGTTTAAATGAGTCACTGAAGGTTTGTTTAACGTTTAAATGGGTGAACGGTCGTTTTGAGATTTGTAATTGTTTCTACAGAAACTGTTTAGGTTTTAAGATTTATGCAATGACTAAAATTATCCTTTTTTTCTCTCTAAATAATAAAGTTTCATAAATTAAACATTAGATATGTTTACTTTGTACCACTGGAAACAAACAAGTTTATGATATTTAAAAGTTGAGGTTAGTCAAACAACGAAAAGCAAAAACTTTAACATATTTTACATGTAGTCAATTTTTGCATTCGTCATTTAAATGTTAAATGTCTTTTTTATGTTTTTAAGGGTTCGACACACGGGGAGCGACAAACGACAGTCTTCTTCTTCTACTGCCTCTTCGAAAAGTCATAGGTGGTTCACAAAAAAGGGGTGTGTGCATTACGGACGTGTAAATTAACAAATCTTGCGATGCTAATGATATTGAAAAACAAACGCACACCAAAATATGATTTTATGAGGAAAACCTTACCAAATAACTTCACCCTGGCACCAACAAATTCCCATAAAGCTGCCTTTTTAGTGATCACTTGTTGAAGGGTCATATAAAACTGAAACGTTTGAMAGAGCTAAAATAACGTTGAAAGTGTTAGCTAACTGTAGGGCTGCCACGATTGGTCGATTAGTCACGATTTTTGTAAAATCGTGACTAATTTAATAGTCGACTACAAAAAAAGTTAGAAAAAAACGATGCATCGACTACTAAATTAGTTGTTGACGATTTTAAYAGTTGACATAATCGTGACTAGTYGACTAATCGTGGCAGCCCTAGCTAACYGCATTGTGTAGCATACTCTCCTCTCATTGGTCAGTCAACGAAACCCTCAGTGATTGGTTGTAGCGCCATGCGACAGCGACAAARGTTGAACATTTTTCAACTTTCTTATGTYGCAAGCTCGCGTGTGCATGTGTGCAAGCGCAAAATTTCWCATGCACGATTTTCGCCGGTCGCTTGGCTGGAGGAGGGTGAGTGGTTGTCGTGTCCCGTGTGTCGAGCCCTTAAGTTTGAAGTTTAGCTGCTAAACTTTACGCTACATGCCTGAAACACTCAGCACTGCTTGTAAGAGTGGATAGTTTTTATTTAATTCAGGATGAATGGCATAAAATTAGTTTAACACTTTAGTGGGCTTAAAATTAGTGGTTAGTGGTAGTGTGAGGGATTTACCCCCTTCCCTCACTATTAGGGGCTGTTTTTAGACATTTTCTATGTTTTAATTGAATTTATTTCATAAGTGTTTTTCTTTACTTTAAGATTTTGTTGTTCTCATCACTCTCTCCTTCTTTTTGAGGTCACCAGGTCATGTGTTGCCATGGAAGTGCGCCCATGAGCAATGCTGATCAGGAACTGGTGTTTTCAATCAGCCTCACTGGGGAAATCCACACTGATTAAGAAGGAGGATGTTTTGGGTTTTGGTTAGGTTTATTGTTGTTTAGCTTTAAATTAAAGTTGAATGTAAATATGTAAAAGTTTGTTTTCTCTAGAGATTTAATTTAATTTGTCTGTTTAATTTCATAAAGGTAGAAAGTGTAAATGTTGTGTCAACCCCTCCTTTTAGACATGGTACAAGCTAAGGGTTTAAAAGGCGGCTGGTTTAAAACAAGACGAGATTCTTTTTCTGTGAAAACCATGTCCTGCTGTAAAAAAGAAATGTAAGAAATGTTCTGGAAAAGACATTTATAAAAAGAAACAGAGCTCTGCAACCCTTGGATCCCATCTAATTGTTTCCTCTATATTTGCTGCCCTGGTTATTTTTAAGCCAGAAAAGTTTTGACTCCGCCCACACCCTAACAGGTAGTTAGTCCAAAGTTAGCCTAAAAGCTAACTCGCTACATGAGAAGTTCTGCTGTTCCTGGATCAGTGGGAAAGCAGCTGGAGTCGTTGGCTGTTTTGCAGAAAAATATAAAGTGTTGAATAAAACAGGATGCTAAAATGTTTGTAAATCCTCTGAGACGTGACAGTGGACACGGTGTGGGACAGTGGACATGATGTGGGACAGTGGACACGGTGTGAGACAGTGGACATGATGTGGGACAGTGGACACGGTGTGAGACAGTGGACAT